AAGCCCAGCTTTTGCCGGTGCTGCTTGGATTGGATCTGGTTTGAGTTTCCTCTCTGCTGGCTTATGCAGCAAGAGAGGAGGAGTGGGGGGAAGTAACTTGCTCAGTCTTCCTCTGAAACTCAAGCAAACGTGCTGGTGCCTGCACTGGTGGGGAGCTGCCCTGGGTGCAGTTGCCTCCTGGCTTATTGCTCTCACTTCCTAAAGAACTGCCTGGACTTCTCGAGGACCTGAAGGAAAAAGCATCACTTCACAGATCAGAGAGTTGCTCAGTGACTATAGACTTGACAGTTGTTCGGGTTTTTTTTCTAGGGGATTCTTTTTTTAATTATTTTTCTCCTGTATTTCTCAGAACAGCGGTTCCTTGAGTGTGTGGCATTGAAATCCATTGCTTTGTTAACAACTTTGGGAGATATTTTATTTTATTTTTTTTTTCCTTCTCTCTTTTGCTTTCTTTGCCTTAAAAAAACCAACCAACCAACCAACCAAACAAAAAAAAAAAAAACCAGAAAAGAAAGAAAAATAATCCTTTTGGGGGGAGGGGAGATGATCGTGCTGATGTGGAATAAGTGCTCCTGCTGTCTCCTCTTACTAGCCGCGGTCCTGATCGTGGAGAGCTCCCAGCTAGACAGCTCCAGCTCCAAGGTGAACTCCATCAAGTCCACCCTGACGGGGGAGGCTCCAACTCAGGCAACCAACAGATCTGCAGGCATCCACCAGGGACTGATACTTGCTAGCAGTAAGAAGGGCAAAATCCTGGAGCAGATGGGGAAACCTCCCAAGCACTATCACCGGCAAGGAGAGGTAGGACATCGCTTCATTGCTCGAGTGTCTGTCTGTCTGTCTTCATGCTATATGCAAGTAATTGCTAGTCTTCCCTCTCATTGTTTTCAAAGCTTTCCTGTGTTAAATTAATTAATTAATTTACTTCTTCAGGGTTGTCTGGAACCATAACATCTCGTAATTGGTGTTAAGAACTGTGCAAGTTGGAGTTGGAAGGTTTTAAACCTTTCCATCTTCTCTGTAGAGTTCATAATTGATGGAAGAAAGAGTAATCTAAAAAAATAATACTATCTTCAGCAGTTCTTTGTTTGACTTCTTCAAAGGGTTGCTAGAAGTAAAGGAAGAAATTTCTTGCTAACTCTCAGACACTAAATTCATTGAATTTGAATAGCTGGGGAAAATTTGAGCATGAAGTGGCAACTGTGTTTACAGCAGTGAAACAACCTTGGTTATAAAAATCACACCTGGCAAGTTGATCTTTGTTATCTTTCTCCATGGTAAGAGTTAAAAAAAAGATACTGTCCCAGTGGAATAGATTATGGCACATTCATTTGCTTAATAAGACAGAAAATTAAACTCTAGGTTTCTTGTCCAGAATATGTACCAGTGGTTGTGGAAGTTTTGTTTGGTTATGTCCAGCTGAGATAAGTAGGGATTAACAGCCCTGAAAACGAAGTGTGTGAGGAAGAAAGAAACTTTATGAAAAAAAGATCCCGGCTTGCTTATGCTGTCTTCTTTCCTCTTGACCCTGCTTGGAAATTTGGAAGTCTGGTAGAAAATCATCTTCATTCAGCTATCGTAGTGGTAAACTACAAAGCAGTATTTTAAGCCATCAGTCCTCCACTACCCTATCAGGTCTCAGTGGGGCTGGTAGGATTGTTGCGCATTCTGGTGTTGAAGGAGGTAGGTTTCTTCAGAAAATATAGATTTTTTTTTTTTTTTTAATACTACTGGGTATTATTAGTGCCTCTAAATACAGCTGCTTTTCATAAGCAACAAATAGTTGTAGCAGCAAGGGAGCTGCCAACATTCAGCACTGGAAACAGCAAAATACTCAGTGCCTGAAGGGTCTGTGTCTTGCCTACATTTTCCTTAAAGCAGCAGAGAAGCTGCAAATTCAAGTAATCCACTGAAAGTGTTTCACATCAGCTTCCTAATAACTGAATGTTATCATCTGGTTTTGTGTGCAGGAGTAATAACAGTGGTGGTAGTTTTGTTTTTTTTTTTTGTGTGAGAAATTTGGTTTTTAAACTCCTCCAAGTTTTCTTTCCTTAGCCACTCAATTGTTTTATAATTTACCCAGAATCTGGTCACCTCTCCTTACCTGTGGGCAAAGTATGGTAACAGATGCTGTGCTGAAGTTTCATATTACTAAAGTACTGTGCTCTTTCCTAATGCACATTGTAATAATTACTGTGTTAAATCACCTTGAGTAAATACAGGAGCACGGTGTTCTTTCTTATATGTTCTCCTTGTGCTTTCTTTTGTTTTCTGTATATTCATAAAAAGCCAGTATATAAGACCTATTATCCAACTGAGAGTTGTTTCAATCTCATCAGTTTCCATGTGGGTACTTGCGGGGTTATGCTTTACAGTCCCAAACATGATATATAATTTGTGTCTTTTGGAAAATCTTGCTACCTTTCCGTATGTACAACATCCTTAGCACTTCAATGTGTATTCAACACAAGTCGAGAACAATTGATTATATGTCACCGAGTTCCTGGGAAACAGTTGCACTGTTCACCAGTTGCATTTGTAGGATTTGCCCCTTACTTCCCAACCTGGATAGTTTGCTGGGGACTTATAGTTACTGGCAAGAACTCACAAAGTGCACTACAAGTCACTGGAAGTACCTGTAGTGATAGAAGAGATAGCATGCACGTTAAGGTGTCCTGTTTGTAGCACAAGCAAAGACCTCTGTAGAATCAGTGATTTGGACTCCTGGAGGCAAAGTCTGGCCTCCCATTAAGGGCTGTTGGTGCTGATTTCACCCTCTCACTGAGAATCCATCCCCAGCTCCTGCACAGATGTAGTCTGTGAAAATGATTCAGATTTGCTACCAATAATTGTAGATGCTACTTTCGGCCATCTGCCTGAAACAAAAAAATTAACACTGAATTGCAATACAAAGAAGAAAAGGGAAGAGAAGTGAAGGGATGGAAGGGAAGGGAGAAAAGAGAAGAAAACAGAGAAGAGAGAGAAAAGAGAGATGAGAAATAAAAAAGTAGCTTTTGTGATAATGCTTTATCTTTGGTGATACTTCCAGTTGCAGGGTTGGTAAGCCACTGCATTTTTTAACAGTGGTGTCACACATCTCAACCAGCTAAGACATGACATTTTCATAATTCTTTTTCAAGTACCTTCTTATTAGGTTAGTACTTGATTTGTTTAGATTATGGGATTTTGTACTGAAGTTTTCCATGCTGTTTGCTAAAAGAACAGGCCTATGCTTTTCCTTCTAAAATAATCTGTTGCATGAGTAGAATTTATAAAGTGTCAAAAGTAGGGCTACATTTTATGTCATGGTAGCATTAAATGATGAGTTGAGTGTCCTGTTTACAATTAGGAAATAGTTTTAGTAAGGACAAGGATATGCAACTTAAAGGAAAATTGATAGAATTTTGCTGTTGTGACAGCTCCGAGCTGTGCATTCAACCGTCTGCAGATACACATAGTGGAAATTGGAGGGAACTCACCAAAACTGATGAAAAGCCTATCAGCCAGCAGCCTATTCATTTTTCAATTATGTTAATTCTCTGGACTCAGAGCAACTTGGGAGTCTTTAATCAGCAATAAATCAACAGATACAATAGTTCATGGCTTATCTAGAGTGTTGATGTCTTTCAGCTGGTAGTTACAGTGCTTCTGCCCAGAAAGGGAAGATCTGGAGCTCCTTTGTCAGGCAAAGTTCCAGTTCAAATTAATGAAAATACTCACATGAGCAAAGCAAGCTGATACGACTTGCTGGAAGGACTGGCGGGGCAAATGTGGATTTTAGTAAGACTTAAGTTTTATGTCTTTCCGAGGAATATTATTTATTTTCTGTTCTTATTCCCTTTACTGCCTTGGATCAGCAGTGCTAAATCGGTGAGATTTCACTGTCTTCACTGTTCCTTGCTGTCTCTCCCGTTTTCCCCTTTCTGCAAACTGTTAATGTTTTCTGAATTTCACAAAGAATCGGAAAGTATCTACAGCATTTGCACAAGGGAAAAATTTGCTTAGAATACAGTGCATGTTAGACTAGGTTACTTTTTAGGGTGGTCAGTACTATACAGTGTCTAGCACTAATTTCCTTTCAAAACTTGATTTAGAGAGCTGTTTCTAGGAACACGTAAAACCTCTGTATTGTGGCCTCTCTGGGAAATTGTTCTGGATGTATCGTCTCTCTAAATAAATATGATATAGTGAATAGAGTCATAAATGAAGAAGGCCAGATTAGAAATGATGGTGAATTAACTTTTCTGCGTGTTAGCTATACCGTCCACTGTGTTAGGGCAAGCTCTCCATGTGAGCACTCTTGCTCAACTATAGAGATGCAGTTTGAAAGGGAAAATCCCACATATTGTAGCTGTGATGGAAAGGCATAACCTTTCCAGAGATTCCTGAATGATTGCTTTGCAAACTCGTTATTTCACTTCACCATCTTTTTCACTTCTTGCCTCTGGGATACATTCCCCTCCAGCAGTACTGGTGTTTGCACTCCACAGTTAACCACCTATAATGATCTAGTAGGCTGAGACCTACCAAACTTTATTTCCAGACATTTTCCTTCTTTAATCCATAGGTACTTTCTTCTGCCCTTTCCAAGTCCTGGCCACAAGCCATTGTTTCAGCTCTTTCCCCAGCAAGATGTGTCTCTAGTTTCCTTTGCTGCTGCATAGCTGGTTGGGTTTGTGCTTCCTGCTGGGACTGTCCCTCCCTCTTTCTACACAGACGGGAGCAGCAGCAATGAAGGGAACTGGGACGGCCAAGAGAGGGGGCTGGCACAACTGTGGGGCTGAATGGGAGATAATGGGGTCTGGAAAAGGGAGAGAAGAGTGAAAATCTGGGACAAGTTTCAACACTGCAGAGGCACAATAGGCAGATATTAGATCAGCCTTTGTATTCCAAATATATTCAGTTTAATAATTTCTTTTTTTTTTTTTTTTCCCAAACTGTATGACAGCTTGAACTAAGAGGCTTGAGACCACAGAAATCAAACCAAAAAGGCATTAATCCAAATGGCTACATTGATACTGATCTCATACGTATCGACGCATGGACATGCATGTGTTTCTTGAACAGGAGGTAGTTGCCCACAAGGACTTGCTAGAGAATGCTTGGATGATGCTTTGTAGCAAGTAAAACAGCGTGAGATGTAGTAATTGGCTGCAGTACCCTGAGAATGTTACAATAAAATGTACCAAAGACACCAAAAATGTAACCACAATATCTTGAATAGCTAGCAAACAAGACAGTGTAAATTATTTCTACATGGGATTAAAAATAAATTAATTACAATACCTAGAAATTGCATCCAGCAACAGCTGCATTTTTTTTTTTTTTTTTTTTTTTTTTTTTTTTGAGAAAGGAATAAATACAGAATTGCTAAATCTGCAGAGGTCACCAGAGAATTTATTCTTTGCTCTTGCTGTTTGCTGTTAGGAATCTGGGAGGCATACTGGTTTACTGGCAGCAGTCTTGCTAAATAGCTGAGTGGCTTGTCTCTTCATTGCAAAAATGGGATGCAGAGTATTATCTCCTTCCTGGGTCATCCTTGGTGTCCCCTTCAATTTGTTACTGTTATTTGACTTCTTAATATAGAGAAAAAGCTCCTATAAAGTGGTTTTAATACAACTATTTCCTATTAATGTTGCAACAATGCCTAGAAATCTTCCAGGTCTTTGATGAACTATTTGCTGTGCAAATACAAAAAGTTTGTTTCTGTCTGGAAAGTCTGTCAGAGTCCAAGGATAACACAAAAGATGATGAAGCATGGTTACATTTGCCCTCAGAAAAAAATGAGTCTGATTAACTCATTATGTTTGATTAACTGATGCTTTGCAGATGCAAATATAGCACAAGTTTAATTTTGATTTTAATTACCTCAACACCGGATGTATCTTGCAAGCACTTCATATCTCATGGTTTGTCAGTTGAGCCTTTGGTTCTTTTACAGTTGTACTTACAAGTGCCTCGCCCTGGAAATGTCTTTTAGAAGGGATTTAACTCTGCAGAGGAGGAGTTCCATGAAGCTCCTGCTCCTGTTTGTTTTTTGAGCATTGCTTTTCTCTTTAGGTTTTGTGTAGCTAAGAATTTTTTAAAGTGTATTCAAACAAGTTTTATGTAAAAATATTAACTTGGAGAGCACCTTCAAAGCAGAGACCTTCTCTTCCTTCTTGGACTTGCCAAAGTCCCTGCCAAGCTCATGCTACCCCCTCATGTACACACTGATTGTGGCTGACAAGAGTCAGGGTGCAATGAGTCAGACTTGGACCCAGACTGCAGCTCCCACTTGGCTCGTTGTTAGCATGTGGCTTGTCAGCATGTCCGCTATGGTGCTGGGGAGGTTCATGTTGATGTCGGCACTGCAGTCGTTAGGCATTTATGATAGATTTGAGGAGCTGAAGTTTGTATGACACTACAGAAATAGGGAAGAAAACCAGAAGCTGCTTCTATGCTTTTCCTGCATTGGTAAAACTCGAAGTGTATTTCTTTTTTTGTCTTTTTGGAGAATTGGGGATGATTCTTTGGAAAACTTTATCTTTCGGTGCTGTGTTCTAGGCTGTGTTTCAGGTACCTTTAGGTTGAAAACAGCTTCTATGAGCTTCATATCCATCCATGTGAAAAGCCCATACGAAAGCCAAGATCAGAAGGTTTGTTTTGTTACCTTATTAAAAATCATTTTTAACTGCAAAGGTTTTTATTTCTATTAGAGAACACATTCATCTCTTCTTTTTTGACCAAATATAAGATGTGCAATGATTGTGTGTGTTTCCAAACTCTTTTTTTCCAGTATAATTTTTCTCTTTGTGGTTGAAAGACAGATTTATTTGAATGGAAAAATTTGTTAAATGAAATTTACAATGAAATGTGAAAACAGGTGAATTTGTGATACTTCCAAGGTCATTCCAGAATCCTTTGCTCTAGAATGAGCTACAGAAAGTAGTGCTAGAGAGAGAGATGACATAAAAGGATACACATGGCCATACTAAATGACCAAAGCACAGCAGTTTTCAAGTAAAATAATGAGCTTTGTTCATTGTAGTTACAGCTTTCCTGGGATTGGCCTTAAATCCATCTACTATCTATATATTTGTGTTCACACAAACAGAAATGAAAATGAATGGATATAAATACACAGTGAGAGCAAGGAGGTCACTCATTTAGCAGCTAAAGGAAAGACTGGAATAATTCTACCAAAAAAAAAAGTAATTAAGAGTTGTTGGGTTTCCCTCCCTCAAAGCACATAAGCACATGATTCAGCCCCTTGGGACTTTCTTAAAGCTAAGCTTTGATATGATTGAATTTTCATATGCACAGCAATGAATCTTGGAGACATGCATGTTGCACATATGTAGTGCAAATGGCATTGGCTTAGCATTTTTAGCAGTATGTGAAGGTGGACTGTTCTGCACATGCTCGGGAATGAAGTGTTGCTTCACTCTGCAAGCTGTCTGCCTCATTCTCTGTGCATCATGTAAGTGTGAACCAGGCTGTGCATGCTTTTAAAAGCATATTTATCGGTCCAGTGAATGAGAGGACAGGGTTCAGTTCTACGTGTTTTGGCAGCTTGCGTTGAGTGAAGCAGTAATTTGCTGTCAGTGTGATTTCTTCCCCACAAGTCTGAAATGCATAAAGCGGAGATCTCTTAAAAGGAATTTCAAACAGAATATGTTTATGTTGCAGCAGGAAACTTGTATTCTTGGAATCTCATTCTTAACTAGAACGGCATCGGGGAAAGTAATGCATCTGATGGGGGACAAGCTCCGTTATTTTTCCTTTTGCACAGAGCCAAGTAGTTTCCAGAATTGATTCTTTTGCTATGTGTTTCTACAGAAAATGGTGCACGTCTTCTTGACAGCCTGCAAAGATCCTAAAGCTGGACACTTTGCTGTCAAAAAAGGTCTCCAGAAGCGAGGGAGAGAACTGTATGTAAAACCACTAACAGAAATGCAAAATGCTAACCCTGACTAATCTAGTTGGCATTAACTTAATTCATTTTCAGAAGTATAAGAAAGATTTACACTGTCCAAAACCAAAATAAATAAAAAAGGTAATGACAGATGCGCTACCATCTTGTATTTAACCTATTTGCTTTCATATGACTTCCTCCCCTCCTTGTGGTATCTTTATTTTATATATTCTTTTATTGTCAGCAAAACTCTAGTATTTCATGAAGTACAGCTACAGTACTCTTGATCGCCAACGTCAAATATTCATGTCATCTCAAAAGAAGCCATAGAAATCTAGGTCCAGCATTTAACTGTGTTTGGTTCCCATCTCAAATAGCTTAGGTTGTTTTCTGAAGTCACTACTGAAAATAGATTTTGGGCTTCCCAATGTTGCAAGTTCTAAGAAAGACTCCACCTGCCACCTGCTCTTTCAGCTAATTTGCTGGTGTACCTGAGTGCTTTCCTCAGTTTTCTTACTGCAGAGTTCATGTGGAGTATAACGCAAAGGTGCTTTGGCTTATACGGTCTCTATTCGAAGCTCTGTTGTAGAACACAGGTTTAAAAGGAGAAAACAGTCTGTCCAATATGACATAGAGCTACAAGGGGGTTGATGCTGCTGCATGTCTTGTCTTAAGGGTAAAGAGGGAAACTGCGCAACGAAAGTTAGGCTTAAAAGTCTACTTTGTATTTTGGTTGAGGGGCTAAACTGCTTAGCTGCATAAAATGTTTCTGTAATTGTTTGAATAAATACAGGATTTTTAAATTGCTCTTCAGGAATTCTTGTAAATCTCTGCACTTGGTTTTGTCCCTGTTGCTATCTTCCAGACATCCCACTGCTTGCCAAGGAAATGGCTTTTTAACAAGAAGAACCCTCTGGAAATTACTTTCTGAGGGGGTCCTTGCCACAGCAGCTGCAACAGATTGCAACTGAACTTCAGTCCCAATTGGTTTTTATTGCTAAAAGTATAAGTGACCAAGAGCATGCTTGTACTATAGCTTCATGACAATTTATTATGTATCAGATTGTAGTGTGTGGTGTTGTCTAACCAGAGGATTAAGGTTTTTTCTGTGGAGGGAAATATCTCTCAGACTTTATACCAGTGCTTAAGCTGAAAGAGGCTGGGAAAGTCTTGCTGATCCCAAAATGTCCTGTGGTTAGGCAAACTTAGGGTTTTTCTTCCACAGACACCTTGGTGTTGCGGCCCAGCAAGTGACATCAGTGAGAGCAGAGTATAACCAGCACGAGGCAGCCAAAAAGAGAAGTCACGACTCTGCAGTCTAATGCGTGCTGATCCACTCCCTGCTGTGTAAACAAGTCTCCAGGGGGGCATTTTCTGAGCAAGTTAGTTTTGAGTAGCAGCATAGCTTTAGCATAGCTCAGATTATGTTAATTAGGAAGCATTTTTGGCATGATTTTCCAAATAAGTAACATGGAGACCAGAAAGGTCAAGGAAGGATGAAGCAAAATGTTGGGATGGTACAGGCTGCTTCCTTGTGTCTTTGAGCAGGGTTTGCAAGCTGGAAGGGAGTTGCAGGTCTGCTTGCCTTCCACTCAGCCTCTCCGCTCCAACTTCAGGACCAGCAGGGAGAGTAAGGAAAGCTCTGTCCCTTCAGTTCTCTAGAGAAGTGACTGGAATGGAAGGGAAGATGCATCTTTTATATGTGGGAAATAGGAGGTTCTAAGTTTTGGTATTGCACGAATATATAAAATGTGCTAGACAGTGCAAAATTTTCTAAGGATTTCAGTGGTAGCAACTCAGGCTTTCTTAGCCTATGTGTTTGTCTATATGAATATGAAAATCTTGGTTCAACTATTATCTAAACAGCAGTGGTAGACAGAAATAAATGGAAAATTAAGATGCAGCATTATTATTGTTAAAAATGCAGGGGCTATTTTATC